TATCCCCTTCCTGGAATGAAAGAATAGAGAAAGAGAGCTCTGCTTCGCTAAGAAACACAACATAGAGTGTCAGTAGACCTTGAGATGGTAGGAGGTAGTTTGTACCAAAGACAGGACGAAGAACTTTGCTGACAAAATTCCTGTCTTGCAGCTATACTGATGGAAAAGGAGAGATTGTGAAAGAAGATTAATGAAGTCAGGCAAAACTCAGTGCTATTACTTGCTTGAGTTAGGGGATTAAGAAAGAGCTTTACTTTTTTAAAATAAATTTTCTTTTTTGGGGGGGTGGGGGTAGGTGGGGTTTTTTTTTCAGATTTTGGTTGAATGTCCTTTCATGTTCACTTTGTCATGTGGGATAGGGGCTATGGTTTGAGGGATTCTTGCTCGTGTGAAGCTGAATTCTCATAACATTAGTATATTGTGAAAAAGAAGAAGCATAAGAAGAGTTGTGAGAGGTTGAGGTATTTGACTAGGTCTCGGGAGATTGGTCTGATTTCTTGGTTGTACAACAGAATTTTTATGTTATGTCAGTGTGGAATTGTTGAATTCCTTTTTTTGTAAAGGAGTTAAGAGGATTCAACTAATCTTTCTGCTCTTGTGCTAAGGTAGGAGCCATAAAAATACTAGTATCTACAGTTTTGTGGTTCAGAATGGTTATTTGCCTTTTGCTGCTCAGCACAATGAACCCAACTCCCTGACCTTAGGGAATGTTACTACAGATCATCTAAAAAAGGTGCTTAATGAGGATGCTGGTTCTTCTCCCTCTTCCCACCCAATTTTATATTGAGTAAAAGTCCATTCTGGTATTGTCTGTCTTCAAAACATCATAGAAATTTGTGTACCTATTTAAAACATCTTGGCCATGAGAAGACTTCTCTGAGGAAAACCAGGAATTTAATTTCTGATTTTTGGAAACCTCAGTTAGTACCTCAAATGTGGTATTACCCTTAAAACTGGAGAATTTTGAGGGTGTCTTGCCTAGCTGCATTTCCCCCTCCTAGTTTATAGGTGCACGGGAAAATTTCTGATCTCGTAAAATCACTATCCAAGGAAAGTAGTTACTTCAATCTATTACTTACTTACTCGTACTTCACATTAAAGATTTTAGCACATCAGTCTCCATGCCATCATGCTTTGTAAATGAGACTGAGTATTGTGTAGAGCTTTCTTTGGCAGAGAAGTAGAGAACATAGTCTAAAAATAACAGAAATTATTAAGGAGTCTCTTCAGTTAATGAGGTAAAAAAACCCAAACACCTAACTCAAAATTTTGTTTGATTAAAATTTAAGGCCTATACTTGTATAATACTGTAGTATTGTATTTAGTCCACTGGCTTATACGAATTTTTACTGAGGAAGTAATTAATTTTGCTTAATCAGCAGTCAGCAGTATCAACTTAAAAATGATAAATAAATTATGGAAATAATTTATGAATATTGGATGGAATGCTGCTTTAACGGTGTATAATAAATAAGCTCATATTTAATTCATAGGCACTTTACAGGAGAATTCTAGTAGTCCTATTTGAAATGGACTTGAGAAATAATATTGGGTTGACAAAAAAACCTTTCTGCATTCATTGTTAAATTTTAATTTTTATTATAGGGAAGGAGTCAAGAATTCAAATTGTTTCACCAAATATGATTGACCAGGATACTGTCAGAATGTTCAAGGAAAAGTTTCTGTGCAGATGTATGAAACAGATCAATCCATTCTGAAATGTGTTTTGCTGAACAAGTAAATGGGATAGGGTGGAAGGGAAGCTAGTGTACTGGTATTTGTTGAATCATGCTTTTGGCAAAAAGCACTTAAAACCATGCTAGAAAAGTTATGTTCTATAGTAGATTTAAACGAACAGACACAAAAACAAAATCCCCCAAACCCACAGAAACGCACAGAAGACACAATGGAATGGATAGGAAGGAAGAATATAATTTCAGATTCTATTTCAAGTAGATGTTTCAAGAAAAATTTGACCCAATGTAATAGAAAGGGGTAAAGTCATACATCTCTTGAAGATACTCTCTGTGACTTAAATTATGTTGAACATATTAGTTAATAAATAGTATGAAGAATTTATACTGACTGTCTAACTTGGGGGGGGGGGGCGGAAGCCTTACCTGAGTCAGATTGGGCTTCGAAAGGTTGGGTTTTTAATTAGCTTTTTTCTTAATTGTTCTGATGGATTAAATGTTAATTTAAATGCTGACTTACTCTATCTCAAATATTTTCCCCGTCTTTCTGTTTACTAGGCTCACTATTTACAGCCTCTAGTGGCTGTTCAACTAGCAATTAACTCCAACAGTACCAAAGAAGAAATAACAATTGAGTGTAAGATCCTGGGCTCACCTAATTTAAAAAATGAAGATGATCGTGACAAGTTTCTGGGACGAATTGCCTTCAAAGTTCAGATGACTGAATAGCAGGAGTAGAAAATTCTCTACAAAGTAAACATTGTGTTGTCTGTTTTGTCAGCTGGACATGCCATTCTAGGGTATGAGACCATCTTGGAGAATGTTAAGGTGGTTTATGGTGTTCAGGATAGCATAATAATATGCTTCCAGATCGTATGTTTAAAATCCCTCAAAGTAAATGCCTATCCTGCTTCTGCCTGCCCCGTTGGAACAGTGTACAGACTATAGTTGTGTCATAGGGACCTGTAAATAGCTGTTTTCAAACACATAATAATGGTGACCTTTGTCCTGTTCTAAAATGTGGTTTTATCCCCAAGTGAGTGTCTCAAGCTTAATGTGCTGTGCTATGTAAATATTGTATTGATTTAACACTGGTTTAACTGTCATATCTCAATGCTGACACAGTTGTAGGGATAAATAATAAATGGTACCTGATTGACATAGTGATTTTTTTTGTAAGAGTAAACACCTCCAATGTAAATTGTGTGTATGGGAGTGGGTGGGTGGGTGGATGGCTGTGTGGAGATGCCTTAAGTTGTAGACTGGGTGGCGTGGGAGAATTGAAATGGATTTTAAGAGTTGGTATGGATTTCTGAAAAATCAGTGCTCAACTAGTACTTTCTTGTGCTTGTCACTGTGCAAGTATTGTGTACATGTAATACTTGGTATAGAGTTTGGTATTCTAGCTGAGGAATCGAATCTTTCTTCGTGTTGTTAATTGCTTGCGATATGTGGAGCACAAATAAAATCTATACAATATTTTAAAACTTTTTAGTTCAGAAATATCAATATACAACAGTTTAAATTCTTTAGGGTCCTGGTAACACTTGTACAACAGAGCTGCTTGAAAGAAATGGCCTCACTGTTGTGGAAATAATAGGCTTTCGTTTTCCAATTAAAAAATTTCCTGAAGAACCTCTGTTTAAAAAAAGGAAAAAAAGGATTGTCTTGATTAAACATTCCTGTTTAATTTATATACTTGTTTCGTTGCATCATTTTAACATGCTTTACGTCTTCGTCTGCTATTTCATCCTGGGTTTTCTGTGTATTTTGTCATCATCCATTTAGAAAATTGGTGCCATCAGCTGCTTTATAGAAATATCCCATTGACTTGAAGTGGATTACTTGCAGTTTAACTGAAGTATTTTCATTAATCCAGTTGCTAAAATGACTGCAAATAGACTAATTTATTTGTGACTTATCCCATTAAACCAAGCTGACCCAATATATTGGGTTGTAACTTCTGCGGTCTTGCTGACATGGGTTTTATATTACTCTTCCCTAGGGGTTTTTTTTGTTTGTTTTGGTCTTGGTTTTTTTGAGCACATGGTCCCCATTCTGATGTCTTGTCAATACTGAAGACCACAGCAAATCAGCATTTGTGTAAATACCTGTAGTTCTGCTAGTTAGTCCTAAATTTCTCACTTAACATGCTTTTATGCCTAATTCTTACAGTGTTTTTTAATATTTTATTTAAAAAAATTAAATGAATGATTGCTAGAATTCAAGATCCTGTCTTAATGCTCTGCTTTGAAAATGGTTGAGGCCAGTCTAAGCTACATTAGTGCAAAACTTTTTAACACCTGTGCAGGCTTACACTGGTGCATAGTTGGAGGAAGCTGCTCTTAGTGGGACTTGAAGAGTGTGTTGAACTTCATTAAAAATAGATTTATACTGATATGATACCATTCAGCATGCTTTTTTGTTGTTGTCTACAAAAGAAAAATTGTTCATTACATTATGGAATGGGTACTTTTGTAATAATAGCATGCATTAATACTGAATAAGAATGTTCTTTCAAAATACTCCATTACTAATGTTTTAAATCATGCACTTTTAAAGCTGGGATACCTGAGTTCTTGAAAATATGACTAATTGCTTCTCTGTACATTAATACTGCCTGAAAGTATTTTAATTGTCATGAGGGAACTTAAAAGTGTTGATGTTGCATCTCAAAATGAAAAGGACTAGCTTCATGTAAAAAAAAACTTTCATGTTTGTGTTCACTTAGGAAAGGTAAGAAGTTCTGGAGAAACACTCAGTTTTCAAATGAGATGATTTTTGCAACAATTTCTCTTTCGACTTATCTATATAGACAAAGCATGAAATGGCAACTCTTCACCAGCACTTTTCAGACAGGTAGAACTCAATAAACTCCTGTTCTCCTTAGATTTTGTAGGAGTGTTTTTTTTTAATTTAATCACATAGGGATTATCAGTTGAGGGGAGGGGAGAAAGAAAACTTCTGAAAGGGTTCAACTATCAAAATTAGCATGTAAAATGTATGTAGGTAGTGAGTTTAGCACTAAACTATTTAATTAAAACCTGTACTATTTCCTTATTTTTATTTCTGTGTCTTAAGAATTTGAGTAAGTAAATGATCTAGCAGTTATTTATAAACTGGTGTATTGACTATTAGGACATGATAAAATTATTCATTTTCTTCATGTGAAACTTACGGTAAAGGTTCCTTGGACTTAATTTTAAATTTTAATTAAAGATTTAAATTTACTAACTTGGTATGTTTGACTTTTATACTGGTAAATACTTATTTGTCTTACTGGGTAACTTTTAGTGCCTTTGAGTCTGGAACAAGGATTTTAAACTTTGTGAAATTGCCAGTTGTTGCAGGTGCTGTTTCATAGCACCATGAAAACCTACTTCTATCCAATTCAGCGGAGGTACCTTCTTCTCTTTGCCAAGCCCCGCCATGCTCCACCCCACACATGAACACACACACGCAGGCCTAAAAGGGAAGCTGAAGAGAGGATTGTTAACAGACAAAATTAGCTACAGGTTGTATTTACACTGCTCATGAGTAGGTAAGGTGATCCTGTGAGTACAAATGACACTTGTCACTGACAGGTAAGAACTTCCTGCCTGAACAGGACCCTAGTCACCAAGCCCTGCTGACTGATGGCCTGCAATGGTTTCAATGCAATGTTCTTGGAACCTGGCACTGAACCTGGATTTTCCCTGTTTCAGGATTTTTTTTCTACCTCTCTGTGAAGCTCATTTTTCCTAACTTTTGGATGATATGAGGCAAATAGAGCTTAAAGCTGAACACAAAGTTTTGTATACTTAAACATTCAGAGAGTAAACTTTGGTCTCCTTAAAAAATGAGATGGGTCTTCTGGGATGGAGAAAAATGTCTTCATTGTACAATTTAAGGCTTAACTGAAAAATATTAGATTTAGATACTAAGCGTACATGGGCAGCTCTGAGGATGGATTTCCAAACCTCAGAATACTTGAAGCTTCAATCGTAAGTTTATCTTTTTGCAATTATTCAGAGCTTTGACTTCCCTGCTAGAGAAACATTCATCTTCTTGCTAGTTAGGCACTTTGTTAAAACACATCAGCATTCATGCTAAGTCTACTGTCAAATTACTGAAGCCTTTTAATGAATTTATCTTTGTGTTAATATGTTTGTAGATGGCATACCTGAAAACTAGTACTTTTTGTCTTACAGAAGAAATCACTCTGTTAATACTATCTACAATGAAAAATCTTTAATTTACACAAGATTTTTGTAATAGAATGTTCAAGGCATAAATGTGTTCAGAAACAACTGTTCAGTTTTGCCCATAGGTCAGATCTAGCTCTATACCTGCTGAGAGTAGAAACTTCACCTACGACAGGCAGAACTCTGGTCTCCCTTTGCTACAAGCTGTTGCAAACTTGGAAATGGTCTGAGGCCATTGTGCTCTCTACTCTGTGCTGTACACTGGGGGAATGTAATTGTTTTATTTAGTTCAACCCACCCTCTACATCAATACTGAGTTGTTTTTCTGGTTTGGTATTTGTGTTTTTTTTTCTTTTGGGTAAGAATGAAGACTAGATGTGGAGTTTCCTTCAGTTTACTTTTGAAGAATATCCCTTCTGTACTGGAAGCTTTACTTGTATTAGCCCTGCTGGGGGGGGATAGTTGAAGTAAGTTTTAATGTCAGCTGTTTCACATCATGAATATTTGTCCTGATGCTTGTTTGGTTGCAGGTGTTAGGCTACGCACCAAGAATGAGACTCCTCTTTTACCTTAGAAGTTACCTGACTATGAAGTCAGTGTTGCTATAGACAAAGATTCCGTCAGAGAGGCTTGATTTTACAGTAGTCTTAGTTGTCCTTCAGTTAAAATGGAGTAACTGTCATTGTCTTGTTAGAAGAAGCATTTTAATACAAAAGATCAGAATTAGTTCCTTTTTAAAGAATACTTTTCACAGTTTTTCTTCCTGTCTAAATTGGGGGGGGGGAATTGGAGAAAAGCTAAGCAGAAAATTCACATTATTACAGTTTGAAGTCTGTTAATTTGGTGACTGCGATTCTGAACGTAAAATCAGTGCAACACGAGGGTTATCGGAAGCTTGCATGTCACTGTGTAGAGGATTGATGTGTAGATTGGTTTGGATCAAATAGCTTTACTAATTCATGATGAAGAGTATGACATTTTGTCTCTTTCAATCTCAGGTAAGCATCTAAAGAAGCCAATAAAGGAAGTGTCAAAGTTATGTTCACTAGCATGTACTTATATCTTGTATGTGATGCAGCTCTGAACAGTGAGTATTGCGTGTAGCTATGTAAACAGTGCCTCGTTTTGATTTTGCAGTAACTGAAGGGAATTGCGAAGAGTTCAATGTGGATTTAGCAACAGCTCCTTAAAAGGGCTGATAGGTATCAATGTATTATTTGAAACCAAAAATGTAATCCCATATTTTATTTTAGAAAGTGTACTTAGCTGTGTATATTATGTGTTAGAGAGGATTATAATATTTTGAATTTGCTTTACAGGTGCATGGAATAAAAGTGTCCTTCCAGTACCCAAATATTTTGTGACTTGTGAGCATATTAATGCTATTTCTATTTTTCTAACATGAGAGCCCCTACAGTGATAACTCCTGCAGGGTTTATTGTCCCTAACAAGGGCTCTCTTAAACCTGCTATGGCTGTAGAGTCTAACTGCAGAAACTGCCACTGCACTCCTAATTACAAATGGGACAGATGCACTTACTTAACACTTTAAATATTTTAGTGGCTGTTACTTAGTACCAAGTTGTCTGAACCTTTTAAGTGTTCTTGTGAATGAGGAGAAAGCATAATGCATCATAATGGGTGAGTTTTGGTTACTCCTAACTTCTTTTAGCTCCTTTTGCCTTTTAAGTTTAGTGAGAGGATAGCATAGAATTAGTACAGCATCTGTCATTCTAGAAGTTTCTCTAAATTTGTTTGGGTTTAGAAATTGCTTAATTTAAACACTACTTACAAGTGGTAGTAAATTTCAGCCTGATTGGTTTAAACAGTTTAAAACAAGTCCACAGATAAGGTTACAAATATTAATCTACTCTTAAAAAAATTTGCATGAGTGGGTCTGCCTTCTTTTGAGGTGACAGGTATAGTAGCAGCTCATGATTAATGTCCTCTGGTTCCCTACAAGTCCCTAAGCAAACTGCTCAATATTTCATTGAGCTATTCACTTAAGGCCAACTATAGCCACGGGTGTAAAATTAGGAGCTTTCTGAGTCTTTGCGCCTGGTCCCCCACCCTCAGCATTTCAAATGACTAAAGCTGAGCATAGTGAGCCAATAAAGTACAGAGAAGTTTAGCTGCTAAAGAAAGTGAACTGGGATTCTTGACTTTGTAAGAAAACAAATCTACCTCTGAAAAAGTAAAGCTGAATTCAGATAAAATTCTCCAGGTGGTTGGGAGCGTCTTAGTTACTTCACTTGATGTTTTTTGTAGATGTCCTTTCAGTGGATGGTGCACGCTGCATGCCAAGAGCAAGTACTATCGCCTGAGGCCAGCCCTACAGTTTGAACTGGAGTTGTTTGTGGTCATGCTGGCAAGACTTGCAGGTTCATTGTAGTGCAGTCTCCTCTTCAGGCTTACAACCCTTGTGCTATGGAAGAGAAGGCAAGTTGCGCGGCAGGAGGATGT